TAAACAGAGACAAAAGTTTTACCATTATGTATGTGCATGCAATTCTCTATACATTGCTTATAATTTTCACAAATCCTTAATTCTACTCAAGTTACGGCAAACGTTGTCAATACATTCGCACAGACGGAAATTTCCTCTTGCAATTAATGCCGAATAAAATGTATTCTCAGTTGATTTATTCACACCTGTGTTTATAAATATTTTTTTCTATTATATAACATGATATGTCAAAGAAAATCGTTGTTGAGAAAAAATCTCATTTTGTACACTACAAAATGATGTCCTAGTCAATGTTACTATTAGCTACGAGCAAAAAAGCAAGCGATGTTTCGATTTTTTCTCAACTCACCTCGATGTGAGTGGCGGTTTGATACCATGCTACACAATGCATATCCAATTATATCTTCAATATACTAGCTAAGCTGTTTTCTAAAAATTGTTTGTTGATCATGTTGAAGAGTGATCAGGTGCGTACTTGGTTTGTTGATCGTTGCAAAATGTATCGGCAAGGACTTGTATTTGGTGTCAAATAATTAGAAACGTGAATGTGATGAATGTTTTTTAGTTGTATGGGATATCAAATTTTTGTTCAAACGTTTTATGGTCTAAATTGACATTAGCATTTTACCTCTTAACTGATGAAACTTTTCCTCATGCATCACAAGATTCTCATTTGGATGAAATTTTTGCATCAGTAATTTGAATGCTTTGCTTGCTGGTAAATGCATTTGATTTTACTGGGGTCATAATGTAGTTAAAAATGTTATATAGATTTCAGCAAGGATTGCGTCTGTTAACACTAAAAAATTAATGATTCAAACGTTTTATTAAGGAATACTGCCTATAGTGACATTCTTTAACTTTCTGCGGAAAAGTTGTGAGATTGTTGATTTTATCAATCATTTGTCGCACATGATTTACGTCCCGCAGGGTGAATCATGATTCCAAGAAGCTATTACGTCTAAAAGTTTTCATTATTCGATTAAACAATGAACAAGGTATAATGTTCTCATTGAATATTCGACAACTACTCGTTAAAGACAAGGATGGAGAAGTCTGCTGTTGTTAAAATTTGTGATTACCATATGCATTTAATCACGAATTTCAACACTCTTTATGATGCATCACGTATATTTAACCACTCGTTTTGTGTTACACAACTTAAGTTACCTGAGATATTTCCATTATCAAAACAGTGTATGATAATCTTGTTTACTAATGTGTGTTTGTTTCTTGTTTATTCATGCTTTCCTTCAAATACTAACACCACACTTGTCGCATATTGAATTAAAAACACGCTCCGAATATTTCAAAATCTATACACAAAGATTTAGGGAATAGAGTGAAAAACGCGAGTGAAAGCAAAATTACATGGGAACTTCTAAAATAACGAGGTTTCTGTATTTAAAAAGTGCTCCTACATGGATGGTTGATTGTATTATGAACAGACAAATGACAAAACGTCTGCCGTTATTCGCAAAAATGATTATCATATTAAATACGCCAATTAAATCTGTAAACAATATTTATGTGCAGGACGATGAAATAACAACTTCAACACACACAACGCTTACTTGATTTTAGGGGAAACATACTCTGTCAATATCAAATTCAAAGTGAAAGAAAAGCAGTGCACCATATTATCTAGGGTCTCACTATGATAATCAAAAGGCATTTCCAAAACGTCTATCCTTCCTTTGTCTATGGATTCCTTATTCTTACAAGTTTGATGAAAGTACATCCAATGGCCAATGCTGGTGATTTGGGGAAAATGTGCAACTCGACTCAAACAAACCAGACAAATTGCACAAGGAATGAGACTGGTTCTCGTAATCAAAGTGATGTAAGTTTATAAACAAAAACTCTATTGTATGTAACTGCAAAAATTATTTTATTTGGTCTAATGAATTAATTTAAAGTCAATGAAATGTTTTGTTGACTGGAAAGAAATGCATTCAAAGAAATGAGGTAGGTGCAAAAAAATCTCATATTAAAAAAAGTCAAAAAGCCACAATAGTCTAACTGAAGCCATTGGGTAAAAGTCATCTTATTGAACAATCTTATAATTCTTGTATTTATTATTTCCTTTATGCGATTTTTATGGCATTATCAGAAGTTGGTTTACGCCATGCTTGAAACTGAATACGTTTAAAAGGAAAGATTTTTCTATCAAAAACACGCGGAACTTTAGCGCTTTTATTTTAGATACAAACTTCTTCACAGTATAATATGCAGTGATTTTAGAATTATTTGCAACATTTCACAATATTTTAATACATGTCACGCAAAAAGAGACTTAGAATAAAAATCATATGATAAATAATCATATCAAATCCTCGTGTCAAGCGCAGAAGAAATGATTTCCGTTTCATAATTTGTGAATTTTTGTTGCTGTCCAACTTCTGTAAAAGTCTCCACATTCCCTCTTTTGCTTGCACGTAATATGCAGCAAAGACTGCAGAAAATGGCAGTTCTGCGAGTTCGTATTTGAAATTTTTATAACTCATCCACGAAGCCTTGAGGTGTATCCGCTTCTGAAATGCTTCCGTATTCTGTAATTCGTAACACTTGCTGAGTGCAAAACTTGCACACTTGCAGTGGAAAACTACGTCTAAAAGAAATGAAATAGACTGACAAGAGATAATGCATTGAATAAATGCATTTCTAAAATTTTTGCAATTTTCTTCTCCACCATTGAGAAATATGACAGTTTACAATGCATTTAAAATTTTCATATGTTCCATTGAAGAACAAACCGAAGAAAAGTTTCTCACTTCCTCCAGAAATATTAATAACAACAATGGTGATCTCCACAGTTGGTGTCCTAACAAATGGTCTTCTTATTGTTGTTATTGTGAAGGATCCTTTAAACAAACTAAGACGAGGACCGTGGATTACTATCTTAAGCTTATCTATAGCTGACATCACTGCATCTTTGTCCCAATTCATGATTGTTGGACTGGGTGGATTGTTCGAGGTCAAACCATCAGAAGCTGTCATTTATTCTGTCCTTTTCTTTTGGATGTTTGGGGCTGCGGGCTCATTTTTTCACTTGACATCACTCACATTGCAAACTTACATAATTGCAAAGTATCCCATACGTTGCCGACAGATGTTGTCTACCAGAAAAATATACATATTATGTGCGACTGTTTGGTCGATTGCCATATGCATGGCATTTGGTGAACTCACATCAATTTACAGCAAGAAAAATGAACAGCTTATGTACACCTATATCACAGTATATGCTGTCTTGGAAATCGCTGTTTTACTTCAGATCATATTGAAGTGTTTCATACTTAAGGTTGTATTGCAAAGTCGACAAGACACTAAAGTAAATGCGGAACAGCACAACACTAAACACTTTGAAATTGTAAAGACAATCATTGTGCTGAATGTCTTATTTTTGGTAACTGCATTTCCTTATTTTGTCGCCAAACAAGTGGAGTTTATTCAAAGGCTTGGAAAAATACAAGGTGAATTGGCTTGGCGTTTTTCTTACTACTACGAACCAGTTGCCATGGTGAATTTCGCTGTCAATCCAATTGTGTATGCTCTGAGGCTTCCAGATTATCGAAACAGCATGAAGGCGTTGTTTAAAAACACTAGAATTGTTTCCATTCAAAAACCAGGGCATTCAAACTTTTCACTTCGTACGAGTGCTAGTAAACCTGTATGATAGATAATATGTTCTAATCTCAATTTGATTAAAAATGTACGAATAGTGCTAATAGTTTTTATTGGAAGAATAAATTCCAAAGTGACAAACAACTGTGTGGTCAAAAAAAATTATAACGATTATTACTACAATACTCATCACTTTTTTGATTCTACGTAACTTCAAAAGCGAGAGCAATAATTGTGAATACTTTAATGAGACCATAAATTAAATAAAGCACGTACATCAGGTACCTGATGTACGTGCTTTACTGATGTACGTGTACGTGATGTACATGTACCTGATGTACGTGTTTTATTTGGGTATAGTATAGGTAATATTAGCATAGTTTTAAAGGGAAGATGAAAGAAAAAGAAACTATCATGATTTGTAGCGAGATTTAAACTGACTAAAATTTACAGCCAACTTTTTGAATTTCTTTTCATGAGAAAGATCAGGAGTGTAATACTTTTTTAACGGTACATATCATTAATCAAATAAACCTTGAACTTAGAGACTTTACAGATTTGCTTAAAGCTTCGATAAAAAATTTGAAAGAAAAAATGAGTCGTGTTTGTTAAGTTTTCTTTAGCTTGTTGAAAAAATGACAAAAAACTTACTTCATGAATCGGCTGCTACTTGGTGGTTATATTGGAAAACAAAACTTCCGTTTAAACAGATTTTCGTTCCATCGCTCAAAGAATAAGTTGATCTGTTCAAGATAAAGAAAATGTGTACGCAGCTAACGTACAGTCGCAAGTGCACGGACAGCTTAAATACAGAATCCTTTCATCACAGGCATATGAGCCAAGAGAAACAATAACGATGTACCATCAAAATGAAATTTGCATAGTTTTTATTCTACTTGCGTTATGATGAAAAGTTTGCTTACACAAAAAATTTTTGTGATGACCCAAAGAACAAGCTTACATTGTGTGCGGAAACAGGAAATTTTGCTATAGCATTTATTAGTACGTTATTCTTAACATTGAACGAATTTATGTTTTGAAATATGACAAATCAAGATACCTACAACAAAGACTTTGCTAAGAATTCTCAATAACATGAGACCACCCTGGGCCCTGGTAAAGCCATAACTTTTTAATACAACAAGACGTTCTGTACACGGATGAAATTTATTTTAGTGAGTGAATCAGTTCACTGCAATATTAAAGACAGTAGAATTCAATACATAACGTGGAGGGACATTCATTTCATATTCTACATCAATATACAGCCAATTTCCATTTTCTTCTTTGTCAGTACTTCCTGTATACGTGAGAAGTTTGTGTACATCATCATGATGCCCAGCCCAAGTTTTGAATTAGTCTGACGTAGCTGTTAAGCCACTCCGGACGTCAACGTCAACCCAGAAGAATATTTGTTTTGTCTGTTTCAAAACACCAGATACATACATGCGATCTTAATTTACCATACCATATAAGACATTTTATTTTGCCATCAGTTGAGTATTTTTAAGAAGAAGAGTTAAGAACGCATCACACGACGAACGCGAAAGTCGTTTTTTTATAGCATCCAAAACTTATTGTAAGAAGGCCAGCAGACGACAAAGAAGTTAGTCTTGGAGGTATATAATAATTATTATTTGTAATAACAGGATTACGGCGTTTTACCAAACCCTGTCGTTCGTTTGAACTGATAGTACAATTAATAAAACATTTCGACATGTGGTTTATCGAATCCTTTTAAACCAAATTTTAGTCATCGATTCATGTAATTACCAGACTTGTACACTTCAAATTAGATTTTTGTATAAGTAAATTATCTTACTTTTTTAAACAGGTGGAACCCGGCGTACATTTCCTTACATAAAATCAATTTCTGAGGTCACGCTATGGTACCTGTACAATATGTTTATAGTTACGTTGTTTTGATATGTTTGTTGAATGTATATCGAGTGCCAGTGGTCAAAGCTAGCGACAATTCTATCACAATGTGCAATTCGACTAAAATAGATCAAGTAAATTGCACAAGGAATTCCTCCGTTTCGCAAAATAATACAAAAGTAAGTAGTATTATATAAAAAGTATTATAAGTCATGAAAATAAACTCGAGTGCTTTGTTGACTGCAAAGAGAAATGCATTCAAAGAAATACATTCAAGCATACGAGAAAAACGTACACGCGTTTGCTCTTTTGTATTACACAACAACGTTACATGCAGTGATTTAATCATGAAATTTGATATTTTGAGAATAAGCAAAACTATTATGTGCAGTTCATTTAATTAGCATTTTGTGGCTTCATGGTAAGTTGTAAAGATAAACATTGCCATGCAAAGTTATTTAGCAAAATCAAATAATTTTATGATAAAACATGCATAAAACGATTTCACCAATATCTCCGAATACGAACGAAAAATATCAAAAAGATACGAGAAATTGTTTAGAATTACCAATATTCAATGCATATTTACAATATCAAGTCATTTTCACTTGCCTGCTTTCTTCAAGAGTTCAAGAGTACCAGGCAAAAGACAACATCTGCATATCTCTCCATGCATATCAAGAACTCATTTTTTTATATGTACCGAGATATGATATTTTCATCAACATCTTCTCTATGTATTGAACTAGGCAACTACATGATATTCAACTTTGTTTGTTCCTCGTGAAATTGGAATTTTCATAGCAAAGCTTGTGTTGGTTGCCTTGATAAGAACAAAACATAAAATTACAACATTCCTCAAATTATGTTTGCTTTATGTAGTGGCGTTAAAGTAAGCCCGTATATTTGGTCTTGCTATGCGAATATATCACAGTTCACACACAGTGGAAACTGAAAAATCAGTTCCTACAAAAATAAATAATGGCAATGTTCTCAAACTCATATATAAGACTAAAACTTAAAAGCTTATGCAAAAGTCGATGATAGTAAAACGACATCATTTTAAGTTTGGTCATCATTTGCAACACAAACATAAGCATAAGAAGAACTGACAGTTGATGTTCTTTTGCAGTTATGATCATGTTTATACTTTTGCCGAAAATGAGAACCAGGATTTGAGCGTTATAATTTAGTTCCTCGTCTAAAAAGAACAAATTTTTGTTTTTAAAAATATTGCTACATATAATAAACATATATTTATGTATTTAATAAGAAACCGAAGAAAAGTTTCTCAATTCCTCAAGAAATATTAATAACAACAATGGTGGTCTCCACAGTTGGTGTCCTAACAAATAGTCTTCTTATTGTTGTTATTGTGAAGGATCCTTTACACGAACTAAGACGAGGACCGTGGATTACTATCTTAAGCTTATCTATAGCTGATTTCACTGCATCTTTGTCTCAATTCATGATTGTTGGATTGGGTAGATTGTTCGAGGTCAAACCATCAGAAGCTGTCATTTATTTTGTCCTTTTCTTTTGGATGTTTGGGGCTGCGGGCTCATTTTTTCACTTGACATCACTCACATGGCAAACTTACATGATTGCAAAGTATCCCAAATACAGACAACAAATGTTATCTACGAAGAAAATTTACATATTATGCGCCACAGTTTGGTTGATTGCCATTTGCATGGCATTTGCTGAAGTCACATCACTTTACATAATAAGATTTGACCAGCTTATGTATATCTATATCACGGTATATGCTGTCTTGGAAATCGCTGTTTTACTTCAGATCATATTGAAGTGTTTCATACTTAAGGTTGTATTGCAAAGTCAACAAGACACTAAAGTAAATGCTAAACAGCACAACACTAAACACTTTGAAATTGTAAAGACAATCATTCTTCTGAATGTCTTATTACTGGTAACTGCATTTCCTTATTTTGTCGCCAAACAAGTGGAGTTTATTCAAAGGCTTGGAAAAATACAAAGTGAATTGGCTTGGCGTTTTCTTACTACGAACCAGTTGCCATGGTGAATTTCGCTGTCAATCCAATTGTGTATGCACTGAGGCTTCCAGTTTATCGAAAAAGTCTGAAGGCGTTGTTTAAAAAGAACAGTTTTATTTCTACTGATACAGCACAGCAATCGACAACCTCGTTCCGTTCTGCTGATGAAACGATTGCTTTGTAGATAATATGCATTGATCATATATAACTTGATTACAAATATATATAATGATTATTTTTTTAATATAGGTAATAACATAAACTTTAGTGGAATTTGTAGTTATACTTTTTTGTAATTTTTTGTGTAATGTTTGTATTTGTACCCAATTTTGCCTGCAACAAACTATTTTGATAGCCACATCAAAACATAGTACAATATCGTATCTAATAATACGTTGTCCTCCTTGCTGCTTATTTACATCTTTACGAAGAAATTCTCTACATTGAATTTAGCGTGAGCAGAAGCTTTGTGTAACAGGTAAAACTTGGCAGCTTTGTTGCATCGAAAATTTCACAAGAAAAAGCAAGTTGCACTTACAGACTTAACTTCTTTTAAATTGGCAGAACGTCTTTCATTGATAAAACAGCATGGTCAGCAATCAGCATGTATTTGAAAATTCAGGCAGAATCGTTTTTAATAGTACTTTATAGTTTGCAAGAAAAGGTATGTTTAAAAATCTATCAATATGTAGCATTTTATCTGCACTAGCAAAAAGAGGAAGGCAGAAATGAGCATAGTCTTAAAATTCACACATACACATTATATTTTCATACAATTATATTTGTATGATTTTAGTGTTTGATAGAATAAGCTGATAATAAACGAACAATGAACAATACACATTAATGAATAGATTTATTATTGTCCATAAAGATTTTTGAACGTCTTCCTTTACAAAACATTACTCCAGATAAACGACATCTTCTTTTTTTCATATGGTGACGCAGCTAACGCTTTTCCTTTTTGTTTTCCAGTTCAATTGGATTCTCCAAAGATTCGCCATTCAACCACAACCATTTTGCACAGCAGGAAGAAAAAAAACACAATATGAAGAAAAGAACAAGGCCATATTTCAACCCTTTCATACTTTACACAACAGCCCAAGACAAGCTTGACGTCCAATTCTTCAAGTTTCAAAGTAGATTTACTGCCAGTACATCATTCCTATGGCACAGCTATATTTATACCATCAAGCATCAAGTGTTTTTAAGCACAGACATCAAGCTTCTTAACAGCTTGAGTTTACTAAATGGATTCGTGCTGTTCTTAGTTTGGATAATACCTTTCAAAGTCTTTAAGCAACAAGAGAACACTTGACGGAAAAAAAATGATTAGAACCGAAAGCCGTGTCCTATTACTATATGTTGCTTTATTGGTTAAATGGGTATTCAGTGTTCTATGTTTTGCCAATAATTTTGCTATTGTTTGGTTCATTTTAGACACAGCTTGAGCATAATTATATTTTGTATCGGTGTTCAACTGCATTGAGCATCAAGTGCTTTTATAAACTGTAGTGACAACATGTTTAATTACGTAGCGTTGCCAAATGGAATAGAATCTTCTAACTTTGCAAAACAGCATTCACAAAAAATGAACATTCGAAACTACTTGTTTTTATACATACAAAATTTTTTGTCTGAGTAATCTTCACATGCTCCTTTAAATAAAATCGTTACAGTTGTACGTGTGTTAAAATAATTTTCATATTTTTATTAAATCATTAATGACTTTGAGCTGACCTACACAATTTTAGCCTTACTTGTGATAAACAAAGTACATAAAGCAGTTCCTGTTATACAGATGCTACAGTTTCATTAAATAGAGTGCTCATACAGTATAATCATCGCTTTTTTAATCAATAACAGCTATTTTAGTTATTTCTTGTTGGAAAATATCTTCAATCATAAATCCCCACGTAAAGGCGCTGAAAATGTAGTAAATAGGGGTTATATAATCAGACCAACGAGATTCCGTTGAGTCACCTGATTTTTTCAGGTACTGAGACGATTGCTTAAAATTGTCCAGCTAAGTGCGAAGATCATATCTCATTTAATTTCAAACACCGCACTGCATAAAACATTCATTCGTAAGAATAATGTATTACATTATATTACTGTCATCCTATATGCTAATTGTCTATATAGTTAGTAAAACTATATAGTAGAATTCCCAGCATTCATGTAATCTTAGAACTCTCTATGACAAGTTCATGACATAAGATATAAGTTCATTTTGACTTCTTGTAATATCAGCTGTTTTTTAAATGCTCTGAGCAATGAAAACATTAGAGAGTCATTTATAGTTGCGCATGAGATGCGTCAAAACTCTATGCATGTGATGGATATGACGGATCGTAGAACTAAAATACTTTTTGTTTGTTTTATAAATATTTTAAAGGCGTCGTTCAGTTTGGACTATTCAAGTGGAAAAAGATGTTTGAATGTTAAAACCTAAAATATACAGTGTATGAACGAAGAGTGTTTGATTGTTGTCTTCAACTTATTTTTATTATTTTTGCTTTTCCATCTAAAATTCAACGACGAACAAACCCATGTATACATGTTTGACTTTGAAAACGGAATATTTTTGTCATGTATAGACTCAGTCTTACGGTCACCTTTCATAGTTCTATAAGCACAATTGTATTTTCTAGTTGACATAGAATTTTTCTTTTTCCTTTCAAATCTGCATATCATTTTATTGTATGATTCAATTATGACAGATAAATTAATGTGAAAGTCCATAACATGCGTGGTTATTTTATTGGTTAATATTGCCTGGTATGACGACATTGTAATTTTCAAATAAACGTTTTATGATGCTTGATATTTGATACGATAATAATTTTCGTTAAAACACCACATATTAAAATATGTATTGCAAGCCTTTTTCGTCAACGTATATTTCTAAAAGTGATTTATATGTTTGTTCTTGTTTAAGCTACATGAATACATGGCCACAATTTGGGGCGGTTTAAATTATATTTTATGCATGTATATTTGGTGTATTTTAATCCAATAACACAACCTGCTGACAAACGTACAACCTATATACCCCACCCTCATTCTTTTTATTGTCACTTACCCATGTCTCGACGCTGTGTCTTGTCCTGTTTCAGAGTCAAGTAAACGTCGACCGAAACAGAAACGAAAGCCCGGTCGCAATCCCAGAGTTCCATTCACTCCCAAACAGCTGACGACCCTGGAAAACAAGTTTGAAACAATGAAGTACTTGACAAGTGATGAAGTTCGTAGTTTGTGTTTGGAAATGACGTTACCGGAAAACAAAATCAAAATATGGTTTCAAAATCGACGAGCAAGAGAGAAAAGAAAAAGTTTACAAAGCAGCGATGAATATGTTGACGTAATGACAATTGACGGGGAGAACAGTTAGCTATGTATGACGACACATGCACTGAAAATTAGTTATAGTTTTTATAGAGGTATATAGTTAGAAAATCAGTTATGCAATCATAGAGTTTGCATTGTAGTAATCTTGCACAGCGTACGTTCAACAGGACCTTTATTTATTGCTGTCAATATTCAATAATGAGCATAGGAATTTCTTCGATGACGTCACTCGAGCATTTCCGCTTACAAAGAGAAAACACTGTGAATGCAAAGTTTCATAATGGAACACATCGTAAAAACCTCAGGTTGTAACATAGGATAGAAAATAAAACATACTTTTACATTTCATCATCATCTCAATGTCCATTTTTGTAATAAATATAAAAAATTAAAAATGCATTTAAAGTTGAGTGACTTAAAATAAGGTTTACACTGCAGGTCGATTTAAAGACTGCAACAACAAAATCAAGGTTTATGATTGGTTCAGAGTATAGTGAAGTAAAATATGAAAGCACAGTGCTATAACCAACAACTACAAACAATAACGACCTTATCTAACAACATTTGAGAAATTAACCTTCCACTCCTCTTCCTTGTAAACCAGACAAAAGTCTACTCAAAAGCAGAGAGCCTTAAGGCTAGTTCACATATGTCTGCGGTGTGCCTGCGTTTTTCCTGCGGTATGATTTGTGTATGATTTTGCAGGCAGCCTGCCGGTATCCTGCGGTATCTCTGCACTTGCCTGCGATTTCTTTATGTGGTAATTTTCTTCAAAACAAAAATGGCGGTAAATAAACGACGCTTGACTTCTTTACTTCTTTCAAATTACTCATTACTGTTATTTTTGGTAAATACGTACGTGCAGGGAAGAAAAATGAGAGCACAAAAGAGGAAAAGAAGGTTTTGGGTGAGACCAATGATACAACAACGCAAGAACTACGGTCAATTTCACTGTTTATTAAAAGAATTACAGTTGCATGATCGTGAATACTTTTTCAGGTATAGGGCTGTATTTTATGCGAGGAGCATTGCTCGATTATATGAGTTTTATATTTGAAAATGTTATCAGGCGTTTGTGTGCAAACTTGTTACTAGAATTGAGATGAACACGTTTTTATTTCAAGGTTCACAAGAATGAGTCCTGAACGATTGGAGCATTTGTTAAGTTTAGTTGCACCATATATGAAGAAACGAAGTTGCCGGAGTAGAGAAACAATCTCAATTAAACAAAGATTGGTGGTTACACTACGATGTCTTGCCACAGGTGACTCACAAGAATCGCAATCATTCAATTTTCGAATTGGTAGAAGCACAGTGTGTATGATCATAAGAGAAGTTTGTGATGCAATTTGGAAAGCATTACGAGATGAGTACTTGAAACTTCCCAAGTCAGAAAGGGAATGGCATGGTGTTGCAGAAGAGTTTCTTCAGGAATGGGGGTTCCCTCATTGTATTGGAGCTATCGATGGAAAGCACGTAAACATCGACTGTCCCAAAAATGCTGGATCTCTCTTTTACAACTATAAAAATTATCACAGTACTGTGATCATGGCGATTTGTGATGCAAAGTATAGGTTTTTATTTGTGGACATTGGAAGCTACGGGCGTGACAATGATGCAGCTATATTTTCACAACTGAGATAAATAAAAAAATAGAAAATGGGCAACTTGGCATACCAGGACCGTCTATGGTTAGTGAATATATGTTGCCTTATGTTATCACTGGAGATGACATTTTTCCGTTGAAAACCTGGTTGATGAAACCATTTCCTGGAAAAGGTCTTACTCAAGAACAAGCTATATTTAATTATCGATTGTCTAGATGCAGACGAACCATTGAAAACACCTTTGGAATACTGGCAGCTAGGTGGAGAATTTATAGACGACCAATTCGAGCTGCAATTACCACTGTAGATCTTATTGTTCAAGCAACTGTATGCTTGCATAATTATTTGTCATTAACTCAAAACGCATATTATATTCCAAAAGGTTTTGTTAATGCTGAAGATGGATCTGAGAATATTATTAATGGGGAATGGAGACACATCACGCAAGGGGATGAGAGCACTTTGTAAGCAGTTCGACGAGTTGGGAGCAATTCTTATTCATTTACTGCAAAGTCTGTGAGAGAGCATTATTGTGAATATGTTAACAGCAACTATGGAGCCTTGCGCTGGCAGCTAGATTATGTCAGATACTGTGGAAAAAGATGCTGAAATGTTTATCAGCTAAATATGAAATTTGCAAAATACAATATTTGGGTCTATATGTAATCCTGAAAACCCTAATGTAAAGGGAGGAATTTGTAAACAAGCAATAATAATTCATCTATTTAAAGTTCTTAACTTCTTTTAAGAAACTAACAATCTCCTTGGTCAAGATTGTTATTGAAGTTCATCCTTTGCTGACTTAAATTATGGTGCTGCATCCATGGGTTAGGGGGTGAGAAGAAGTATGGATTTTTTTGTGTGGCCTGTTGTTGGGCATTACGTTCATCACTTTCAAAATATTTAGCTGGAGCAAAGACTTGTGTGAAGTTGGGATGCGTTTGAATTTGGAAACCAAGCTCAAGCAAAACAATGTATCTTCATCATTTTTGGCAATGTTTCCCATGTCAGCATCTGAAGAAGAAATTATCTCTTCGCTTCCCTCATCAGTTAGTTCTATTGATGTATGGGAAGTTTGCCCAAGAGGATAGTTCGTGGAAGTTGAAAAATTACTTGTTGTCTGACGATGTCGAATATGTGTAATTAACCATCGCAGATGTTCTAAATCAGGCCTGATTTCAATATCTGCCCGACCACTGTCTGATTTTCCCTTAATATTCTTTATGTACTTGGAGAAATTTGTTCGTATTGTGTTGTATCTTTTTTGCACACTTGCAACGTCCAATTCCAAAGCTTCTGCCACAGCTTGCCAAGCGTTTTGTTTTATCCTTTGATTTTTGTAATCTGGACACGATTTATCGTATATAGCACGATATATACGTATGGTATCCATAAGTGCTTTGTTCTTGACTGTTTCAATAACTTCATTGGTGTCTGAATTGTTATTTTCGTCCATTTCGGTGCTTTGTATTGTGCGTTTTGCTATTTCGTCCGCCATGTTATCCACATCAGACCGATGCATTGTGGGATTCGACAAATCGTTCAGGCATACCGGCGGACCATTCACATATATGTAATTGCCGCCGTATACCGCAGACATATCGCAAACTTGCCGGAAAGTTGAACTCTAGTCAACTTTCCCGGCAAGCCGATGTGACACAGATAACCTGCGTTACCGGCGAGCGATTGTTCACATATACAATAAATTAGCGCAGGTCTTGTCGGCGGTCATTCGCAGGCCCACCGCAGGCATATGTGACTATCAAAACTGAACGACTGACCACATTATGAAATAGAACTGCCAGGCTGAGACATCATTAGTCATTTATCAAGAATTTAATGATACGTCAAAACGCAAGGATGGATTTAGGACAAGGTTGAAGAAATATGCCACCACCCCCAGTCTTAGATATACAAGATGGAGTCAATTTCCCTGAAAATACTAATATATCAAACAATTAATGGAC